GATTTGAAGTATCTATCAAGCTGCCTTCTGCTCACCTTTCCAGAGCTCACCAGCACTTCACCTTCTTGTGCTTCCTTCACCTTTCCTCAGTTTCTGAAGGGACTGCCTCGGATATCCCTGTACATTGAGCTCTGTCAGCGGCTGATTATGATATCATGGCCTGAAGCACTACAATCTTTTCTGCACAGTTGTGGCTATCTAATTACTACGTTTACCATTTCCGCAGTTTCTCTCTATCTTTGTTGCAAGTATTTTCTGACTGCTCCGTGGCGTGATTCGCTAATCGTTATGCGAAACTGTTTAATGGTGACCTTGATCGTGACCAATTAATTATATGCAGTGACCATGGGCCGACGGTCTAAATCCTTCCCAGTCATACCGTGAACTCGGGATTTTCGAATATATGAAGATATTCGAGTTCCTCATTCCGATAAGCTTTTGAGTTTTTCGCATGGTTATCTCTCTCAGACAATGAAAAATCCCTCGGCATTGCTTTCCAGTGCAATGCACGAGCTTCCCAAGCACTTTCATGTTTGCTTAGGCTTCCCGCGAGCTTAACACAATGGCGACCAGGCAACCTTTTATGTGCCTGCCGCGTGGGATCGGGAAGTTTTTACTCCTATTTTCGAGGAATACGCATAAATGCTGGGTTCCGTCTACATTGAATCAATTGTAAGGGGACTAGAGCTCATTGCGGAAGCTGGAAAAGCTCCTGGTCATGACGACGTGAAAGAGACCACGAATCTTTATGGAATGGTTTCACTGCGTTTACGTGGAACGTACGACAAGTCCTACAAATCGTTATATTTTCATGTCACTGTCAGAAATTCCACGTCACATTAGCTATCTGAATGTGGAGCACGTTTATATATCTGGAAATTACCTTTTCCCCCTCAGGAAATCACTGCCTTGCATTTCCAAGGTAAAATGCCGAAGGCGATACAAATATGACAGCCATCATGTATTTTACAACACCTTCGTGGACAATGTATGCTTGTCGGAATTTTCAAATGTATTCAAGATGGATTTCTACCCATGCTGCATCCCAACATTGAGACGCAATGTCGCTAACCTCTTGAACAAGAGAACCGGAGAACAAGACAGTACAGTAAGAGGATGCGCACCGAGGGAAAGCACAGTTATCGATTTGACGCCTTGGAGAATAGAAGGATCGCAGAAGACGCAAGTCGGAAGATTGCGGCATTTCGTGCGCTGATGGGGCATGTCGGTGAGTTTGAGGTTGGCGTGGTGCTAGCTCGTTCTCCATCAGTTGTTGAAGTGGGTGAGCGACAACAATCGGTGGAAGAGACTGATACGAACGATATGATACAGTCTTGTCGCTTGCTTGCTTCAACAACTTGTGGAGAACAGGTTTGCCGCCGCGCCAAACCCACACCCCCCATGCCCCATGGGCCGCAGCGAACAGGCTGTGGGAGTAGATCGACTCACCTATTCTCGATTCTTCGGCGTCGTAGAGTAAAACTACGACATTGAATTTCTGATCTTGCATCTTCAACTTTGCTCAGTGATGCTCCTCGGAACTACCGCCATGTTGGTATAGAGCGCAGGTGGGTGAAGGTGTGGTCGTTGTTGAGTACGAGTGTATCTCACCTGCACAACTAACACCACAATATTTACGTCTGGTCTCTTGAAGGCGTGCGAAATTCACGGTCTCACCTCAAAACTTCTTAAATATATTTCTCAAGTGTGAATTCCACTCTTGTCTCATCGATTTGTGTCACATTCCATCACTAGCAGGATGCGATTCAGACAGGCCATGTTCTGTTTGATGATTACAATCTTTCCCAGCAAACTCCTTACTGTAGTGAGTCGTAATTTATGACTAAATGCCAAAAACTGTAAAAAATATTATGTGGAAGAGGTGAAAGGTTAGCCAAGACCATCATTTGACAAATAACTTGGGTATCAGTCACACAACTTATAGAAGGTTACAAAGAAGTTATTCACCCTTTCAGAGCCAAAAGAAACAGTTAAATCGTGTTTCACCGGGTTTTCTGCTTTTCCAGTTTTGTTGGTGTATATTTTAATTTGCCTTTCAAATTTTTTCCTGCAAAAAAAACCAAGGATAATGTTCAAAGTCGCTGTTTCTCATAATCTCTTCACGCCGATTTCAGAGCTGAAAACGTGTATTTACCACGTAATGGTCACTTTGGTATTTCTGCGGCGACTGGCGGACTCGCAGGTAATTCTGCCTAGTTCCTTATTTCAGGATAATATTGTTAAGACTTGCTGATTCAGATGATCACGATGTTCTCGATTTCTCTGTCGCTTCGCTTATTACGGACGGTCGGCCTTCAACTCCTGGTAGTCTTCCACAAGACGAGAAGGCAAAGTATGAAGAGGAGTTCGAAAAGCAGATGAAAGAGTTTGAAGCTGAGCGAGCCAAGTAAGTTGAAATGGATTTTGTGGGCAAAAAACCATCAAACAAAGTTTTTCTTGATGCTTTTTTCTCAATTCTCTGACGTGTAAAAACAAAGTTTTTAGATTCAAAGAGCAACATCCAGATAAAGCTAAGGAAGACGATGATTACGACGAAGCAAGGTATTATGAGGACGCAACGGTTCGAGAACTGCGCCAGCTCTTCGAGAGTCAGGCGAAAATGTTCCAAGTATGTATGCATATGCTGTTGATATTCGTAGGCTCGCCGCCACTAAAGCACGTCCTTACCGTTGCGGAAAAGTTTTGCAAAATAGGATCCCCCTTCGGAATTTCCTTCATAGTATAACCTCCTTCCCCATCTTACGTACCCAGCACCCTCTTGAACTCTTCCAACTTCCTGCCTTCTTTACCGTTTTTTTTAGAAAATTTCCCACTTTTCCTGAAAGTATTACCTACCGCGGTCAAGCGTGAAGGGGGGGGGTATGTAGCGCACGTGAAACGGAGAAACGGCAACATGTTGATATTCAGCAATCAAATGTTCGTTATTGGCGCTTTTCATTGAGGGTTGATCAATATTGAGTTCATTGTGCATTTTTCAACTGTGTTCATTCATTTTCGTTTGTTTGAAGGTATTGTTCTATTAGAATTTTCAACTTGAAATATGGAGACTGTTTGTTTTTAGGTGTTGCAACGAGTTGAAGAGAGAGTGCAGCTTTTGTCAGGCGGAGCTGTTCAAACCGGCACAAGCAGGACAAGCTGGTGATTTATTTTTCTCCTTTTTCTTGATTCTGCACGGGTTTCGTTCAGCTATATACGTTGAACCTTCGGGCTGGCTGGTAGTGTATCTCTCATTTTTCAAGAATATGTAAGTTAGAGGAAGCTTCCTCCTGCAGAGGATTCCAATCAGGTTTCCACAAAAAATCTTGACAGTAAGACGGTAGGTGGGATGCGAATACATCGCCAGTGTTTTCGCGCAAAAGTTCCTATAAACGAAATAAAAATTACCAATGATAATAAAATAGATACATATATTTAGCAAAAACTGCGCTCCCATCATTATTGGTTTAGCTGATAAGGTCTTGGCGTTCGCTATAAACGAAATCTCGATTCGCGATGCCGACATCTTTGCGTCCTGTCGAAAGATTTCTTTGATAACTGTGAAACAAAACCAGAAGAAAACTTTTCTTAGAGTTTTGTCACGTGTCGATCTATTGAGCATCTTCTCGGTTCAGTTATCCCAGAAAAAAGACGGCTACTGCGATAAAAAAGCAATAGATTTTTGAAAACTGGAATTCATCAAATTTTCTTGGTCATAGATAAAAGAAGAAAAGGGCCGCGCGCGTTCCGCCGACGGGGGGCGGGGGTGGGGGCATTTTGCATCTCTGCTGCTTCACTAATTCCGGTTACAAGTCTCACTCTGGTGAAACCTGTGAACTGTTGAAGCGGAAGCAAGCTCGTCAAGCCATCGTGGTAAAATTTGTCAACTCGAGAAGAACCTGTCTAGATGGGTCGACACGTCGTAAGTTTACTCGATGGGAAGCAGCGAAGTGCAAAAATCGCCTCCCCCCCCCACGTCGCCGAACAGCGCCAAAAAACGTAATGCGTTATTCTCCAGCTTCTCCCATTTTGTAACCTCGGCATGTTAGTTGTTCTTATTCAGTATGTTTTCTTGTGCCTCTCGAGGTTTCTATGTGGAACAGTTTATTTTAGCGGCGTGACGTTTCGACGTGATCGTCTTTTTCAAAGGCCTAAAAAGTGGTTTCGAGTTTAGAGATGTGTACTACTCTGCCAAGCGCCTAATCTACCCCAGCATTTCCGATGACGTGGTCCTAACCCAACCGAATGGTCCTAACCCAACCGAGAATCTCCCGCAAAACGAAAGAAGCGCTCACCTCTGTTCCACCGCAAGCGGAACAACCGCTATACCATTAGTCGACCAGTAGTGAATGAGAATTACTAACGCGTTTTACTTATACTTATCGAAATACGGAGGCGCACGTTACACTGGTGACTTCACAGCTCGCAGTATGGTATGAATGGGAGGAGATAATTGGAAATCGACGGACGCTCGTCTCGGTTACTCATACGAGGATTCCTAACAGAAATCCAAAACGCCTCTAATGCTTTCCTCGCCGCGATCTCCGTCTCCTGCGTCAATATTGTGCATTTTACCTCAAAAGTGTGGCCGTCATGCACTTCAGCTTTATGCCTGCCAACCGGCTGTTGCAAGATTACCACGCCCCATGCTGGCTAGGTGTTCTTGTTACGTTTAGCCCAGCGGTCTTCCTGTTTCTCCGATGGATTTCTGTTAGGATTATCGGAAAATCAGGAAGACCGCTGGCTAAAAGTAAGAAGACGATCACGTCGAAACGTCACGCCGCTAAAATAAACTGTTCCACATAGAAACCTCGAGAGGCACAAGAAAACATACTGAATAAGAACAACTAACATGCCGAGGTTACAAAATGGGAGAAGCTGGAGAATAACGCATTACGTTTTTGGCGTTGTTCGGCGACGTGGGGGGGGGATTATTGCACTTTCGCTGCTTCCCATCGACGTGTCGACCCATCTAGACAGTTCTTCTCGAGTTGACACAATTTTACACACGATGGCTTGACGAGCGCTTCTTCCGCTTCACAACAGTTCACAGGTTTCACCAGAGTGAGACTTGTAACCGGGATTAGTGAAGCAGCAGAGATGCGAAATGC